ATAAGGAGGCCTAAATAGAAGTACAAGAGATAAAAAGCATGCAGTGCTGAGAGGGTGGCATGCAACCTTATAAAGAAATCCCGCAGCCTGGCATTTTGTACCGATGCCTATTAACAAAACCCAGACCAACGTGCTGCAATAACCCCATGCACAAGCCCTGAGCACTGATTCCCCCGGCTGGCTCTGCCGTAGCCTCGCCGGTGCTGGGCTCAGCGCCGGAGCAAGGCTCTGCGCGGGGCAGGGGGACTGTGGCATGGCAACGGCACAAGCTGAGAGTCAGCACCAGAGCTGGAGGCAGGACCACAGGCTTTCTGCAGAGCAGTGAGGGAGGATGTTGGGAGATGGCACGTGCAGGGGAGGTGGGGGATGAGGGGAAATGTGGACATTGTGGCTGGCTGTGTTTTCCTGTGAAAAAAGCCCAGGACTGGAGATGCTTTACCAAAATCGTGCAAGTGGCATTTGCACAGAGGCCATTCGTGCTACGCCTGACTCATGCTAGGATGGAAATTCACAGAGAATTGCTGCGTGGGCTCTAGTGACAATGCAGTAAGCCGTTAAACAAAACACCTTTGTCTTACATCCGTCCCTCAAACCTTGGACTTCCATTTTTCCTTCACAGAACTGAAAAAATATCACGCAGGCTAATTTTGGAATAGCTTGCGTGTAAATCATTGCCTTGGGCTTGGGCCTCTCACACTGGGGTTCAGCCTGAGTGACTTTTTATAGCTGAGTTATAAACTTTTAAATGCCAGACTTAATCAGAGCTACTGAGATGGCCATTACAGGAGTGGTTTAAGTGGCATAGCCCTGATATATGATAGCACAGAAAGAAGGTAGGTGGCTTATCCACGGTGGGCAGTCTATCTGGAAGGGAGCAGGGTCTGGTAGCTAGAAGCGGGCACAACTGAGACACAGATCTCTTGAGTTTTGCTCTTGCCCTTGTGCTACTGCTCGGTGACCTCGAGCATGTTCCCTTGGGCTGCACTGCACTGAGCAGACAAGTCTCAGACCAAAACTTGAGAGGAAAATGTGGCTCACCATGCCCTGGTTTCCCCAACATGCTAACGAGAATGCAGATATGTGTCTGCCTCCCCTAGGGATGTCGCAAGAATTGTTGGTGAATTGGCCTAGGGTTTAACATGGCATTGTGCAGACTCAAAACATACAAATCCAAATGCTTCATTTATGGCTGATTTAGAGCAACCACCCACAGAATCATATTGAGTAATTATAATCACAGACACATCAGACACCAAAGAATCTAGAAGACTTTGGGCTTAAGCTTCTGGGGGACTAATGTCACTTTGCTTCTAACAGGAGCCTCCGCAAAACTTTGACCCCCGCCAATTTTGCAAGCTGTGGGACACCCAGTAGGTTCCAGCTGTGAATCTGAGAGTGTCCCCCACTCTGCAACATCTTTGTTGTCTAAGCAGAACTGGACAGTCGTCAATGTGAGAGCAGATGCTTGGACAGAGAAATTGATCTGAATGAAAACAATACAGGGTCTTCTTTCTAAATTTATTCAAGTATTAAACAAACAGAAACTACAGCATGCATCAGATACTTTTCTTTATTGTACAACAAAACTATGGACTTGTTTGTAATTGCAGCATTTCCAGCAACATCAGGCAGACTTGTCGATGTTATCCAGTTTTGCACAGTCACTAGAGTGTCGCATCATGAATTATTAAATCAGTGCTTCGTGGTAATACATAATTTCTTATCAATTATTCATGCTAATGTGCGTGTAGTTTACTTAATTGTGTTATTGACGATCAAAAGTAATTTCCTGAAAATCCTCAAGGACAGAAAATTTAATCAGCGTAACTACTTTTCAGATGCAATGCTGTTAAGTATTCTTAATTTGCTCAACAATTCACTTATTTATGTACCTTTCTGGAGGAAATACGAGTTTAATCAAACTATTAGATTGAAGAGTTAGTGTACAGAAGGGCTGAAGTTCAACTGAATGCAAGGTAATTATGTTGAAATGAAGTTGGGCCTGCCTCTTTGGAGCAGAATTTTTTTTTCAGTCTTTTTTTTGGGGGGGTCTACAAAAAAATTATGATTGGGAAGATCACTAAGAAAACAGTGATTCTCTCTTCTTTAACTGCTCCCCACAACAAAGCACATAGTGATGTATTTTATTTTGGTGGAAGAAAAAAGGTTGTTGCTGTTGTTTAAACTAAGCCATAATTTGCAGCCAGGGAAGCCACCTCCACCGCCAGTTCAGCAGAGCAGGTCCTGAAGCTGGAACACAAAGACGGACCACAGACTACCACATGTTCCCCCCCCACAATTAGGACAGTTCACGATTGCCAAAAGAAACACACAGTGTGGCAAAAGTAAAGCAAAATTACTCCATTTGATGAATGTGGGCCCTGTCAGACTTTTTTTTGTACTTGGATCCAAGGACAGACACAGCACTGCCTTTCCCAATGGCTTGTGTCCAGAAGACACAAACGCCACCCTGGAGGAAAGCCCAGCACCCTTCACTCCTGGAGCAATGAAGGTGCTTGGTGCTGCCAAGCCACCCCCAGAAGACCAGAGCTTCCACCCTTTGAATGGGCACTGACACCAGCCCTGCCTCAGGGAAAGGAAGGTGTGCCCCAGGGGGTACGGGAGGGTCCTGTGAGCCCCAGGTTCTTTGAAATTCGTGGGCTGAGGTCACTTGGGTAGGGGAGAGAAATTTTTACTGCCAGCCTTACTTGGGACTGCCTTTCCAAGCACATCCCCAAGCTCAGATTCTGTGAGAAGCCGAGCACAACCCGATGTAAAAGCGTGTGCTCAACACATTGCAGGAGGTCCTCAGCACAATGTGCAGGATCAGAGCTGACAGGAATCCTTCCATTAGCCTCCGTGTTACTTTGTCAAGTTTCAGAGCAGTGGTTTCACCCTGTTCTCCAGGGACAGCTGTGGACAAGCCTAAGGACTCTACAAAAGGCACCTGAGAAAAGCAAGTCCATGTCACTAAGTTTAAATCTGCATCTGCATTTCCCATGGAAAAAATGTGGGGCACCCCAGATTAAAATGTCTGCTTTAGAGCATCAGATCTTAGTCTGCTTTGCTTTGGGGAGTTTTGGGTCAGAGATAAGACTGTATTTCCTGAGGCATCAATTTCTCCTCTGCACTGTGCCCCCTCTGTAATAATTAAGATATTTTCGTCTCTAGATTCATTACAACAAGCCTTCAGTGAATGGAATAGTCTGATTTTGGATGGCATAAAGGAGTATCCTTTCAAGTTTTATTTCCTCTTTATTAAAAACAAAACATGCAAGGACATATTTGCAGTGTTGCAATGCAGAATTATCTTCTTTTCCAGTCTTTCTTTCCAAGAGAATGATGCTAAAATAGAATCATAGAATGCTTTGGGTTGAAAAGGACCTTTAGAGGTCATCTAGCCCAACCCAGTACCCCCAGCTTTGTGCAGATCTAAACACAACTGCACTCTCCATTAAATACCAGCATTACTGTTGGAAGCTATGAACGCTGCTCTGGAGTCATGTGTCTTTTATGTCTAACCCAGGGAATGGCAAGAGTAACAGACTAATGTTTACATAGAGACTAGTGCAAGGATTTTATTCATAGGTAAACTGATCTCAGCAATTTCCCAGTAATCAACTCCATGGAAAGTTTCACTTTCAGGGAAAAGAAGGGAGAAGGAAAAAATTATGACGAGTTTCATTCTATTTTCTGCTTCTCTTACACCTGGCTTGCCTGGGATACATTTGGTTGAAGTCAAATGCCATCAGAAAACAGCAGGCCAGAGTGGTATATTCCTGCATATTCCTTTACCTCTGCTGTGCGCAGTGAGGTAAATGGTGCCTGGATGCCTCTCCTGCCGTGGACCTCGCATCTGGAAGCACTGCCCTTCTGCCAGCCCTCCATCTCAGGCAGGATGGGGAGCCGAGATGCGCGGGAGCAAGCCAGGATCCTGGGCGTTTCGGTGTCCCTGGGATTTGGAGGCGGGGCTAAAAACAGTTTCACAAATGTTTCCAAAGACAGATAGTGCCGATAAATCAGGGGAATGAACCTACAGTGGCGCAAGAAAAGCAAGGGTGCGTGAAAGGCAGCCAAAGAGGCCACTCAGACTTGGTGGGTCCCTGGTGGCCCCGTGACATCCTGCTGGGGCATGGCCACGCTGCAGTTCACCCCACGGCAGGGCCTCGGCGGCGGGTCCCTGCCCTGAGCCGAGGGGCCAGCATCAGACCGGCTTCATACACTCTTCTCTCCTTCCATGTGCTCCTTGGCTGGAGAGGGCTGCTTGTCCTGGCTGCCCTCGGGGCCAGGTTTGGCAGGAGGAGTGGGGCTGCTGCTGGCGGCGGGCAGGAGGTTGGCAGACTGGAGCACAGCCTCCGAGTGCTCCCGGGCCTTCATGCGCAGTGCAGCCACACTGGCGGTGCGGTTGCTTTGGCAGCCATAGGTGGGCAGGAAGGAGAGGCCCATGGGGTCTGGAACACAGCACGAGCACAGCGGGCTCCCTGGGGAGGAAGGAGACAAGGCACCATCACTGACGGGGAAGGTCATGGGGACTGTCTGACTGTTCCCTCCACGGTCAATCTGGAGAGGGCAGAGAAGGCGTTGGGGTCTCGAATGGCAACAACCCCCTCCCCTATTGACCTTTAGTGGGTACATAGTTTTTCTCTGGATCAGGGATAGAAAAGCCAGATCCTGTTCTGCGGAGGCCCACTGTGAGGGATCTTACACTGTGAGTCATCCAGGGTGACAAACAGAGCGAGTGAGGGCAAGCAGACGCAGAAGCAAGCAGTGAAGTTTAGATCACACATGCGATCTCCCCCATCACTTATCTACACCTGAAAGTTTACTGCAGAGAGAAAGGTGAAAATATTCTGGTGATTATGCAGGAACTAATGACCTTCTCCTATCTCACTGTAAGATGAAATAGGCTTTTCCTTGGCCAGGCCCCTGCCAACTATTGGCATCATGTCTACCTGCAGAAGTCTGTTCTACCTGCACCCACCCAACGTCTGTGCTGCTTAAGGATGGCACCTTGAGGAGAACGGCCTCCAGAAATGAGCCAAGGCCGCCTAAAGCTGCTGCTGCTGACATGGCTTAAGAGTCCCACCAGGAGAGACAGGCTAGATCATATCCATCCTGTCATCTGAGACACAGGGGCTGTCCCAAGCAGGCAATAAAACACTGGAGAGAGAGTGAAATGAGTATTCCTCTCCCTTTAAGTCAAAAGGCTACCCTGCAACCCACTGCCAGAGGCAGTCCTCACTCCGTCAGCTGCCTTCCTGAGCTGGACTACCACATGCTGTTTCTCTGGCTCATCTTTGATAACGCTGGGACTTGGTCCAGTTGCCAAACAAGCACACCTGGAAGTGTAGATTGATCACTGGGCAGGACATGCAGTCCATCCAAAAAGCTGCCCTGGCACCTAGCTTAGATGCATCTATTGAATGAAGGAGAATGTGTCAGAGGAGCAGGGAGGGGAAGCAGGGTGGGATGGCTGAGCTGCTACTATAATTTACTCTCTGGTAAGACATGTTGAGTTACACCATCTTTCCAGGGGTCTCAGAGTCCACACAAACTCCACATCCTCTTCTACGCCCCTGACAAAAACCTGTCCTTTGCTGATATGCTACCTCCCAACAAGAAACGGCCTGTCTGCACACATTCTGACATGATGCAATGTCTTCCTCTGATCTTTCCAAGCCAAGGACTTGCTTTAATTTCTGCAGTTAATGTGTGAGTTAAATGGCTCATGACTAAGTGATGGAACTAATAACCTGCAGGGAGCAGGTAGTCTTTCTTTTACACTTCTGCTCTCGGTAGCAACGGGTCAGCACCCATCTGCTAGGGATGAAGGCAGACAGTTGTTTGTTTTTAGGGTGTTCGCAAAACTTCTCCATGGCAATTGTAAGAGATTAGCAGCTTGCAGGTAACGTTCAGAAAAAAATACCCTTTGCATTTTAAAAAAAACAACCTGAAAGGGACAAGTTATTAATGTAACTAGAAAGTCTTATTTTCTCTTCTACTGCTCCTCTGATAGAGCATATGATCAGCAGACCAACATTTCCATGGGTCCAGGCATTCAAATGAATCGCACAAGCAAGTTTCAGCACTTGACTAAAATCCTCTATTTTTTTGCTTTTAGCACTAGGAAGGTCAATCTTGAATTCTGTGGCTGCTTTAAGCAGCTCAGAAGGAGGGTTTATAACAAAAGCCACTCAGTAACACAACTTACAGTTTTTGCCACCACCAACCATGTTCATAAAGTCATTTTTTGCCCTCTTGAATTGCAGCCACTTCAGGCGTGCTGGACGGCCACTGTTTTAACAAGAGGGAGGAGAGGAAGATTGGCACTTCCGAGACCCTACAGTTTGCAGCAGGTCTTTAGCTGCAAAAGCCACACAGAAGTCTGTTTCTTCACTATTATTAAGCCCCACTACCTTAAGGTTCAGCTCTGAAAGGGGGAGCGTGGAGGCCTGCCTGTGCATCAGCTGTCTTTGCACTGCTGCTTTCTAACACAAACTGAGGGAGACTTTCAAACGCGGCTGTTCAGCTCCCAGGCTGAGGGGAGGGCTGGCCCATCTGCGGTACCTAATGCAGGACCGAGCACAGACATCGTCTGCTTAGCGGGAGGTGGGGAGAAGTGGAAAAGACCCTTCCCCTTTTCAAAAGAGCAAGAATCAGCTCCATTCCCTAAGAATAATTTTCATTCCATTGTTAGAGAGGGATAAAATATTTATCAGTCTTCAGTACCAATCTAAGCTCTTTGCTTAATAATTAGACCTGATATTACACAAGTGGCTCTGCAACCTGAGGGTGCAGAGTTACCTGTGGTGGAAACTAGGCTACCTCTAGCAATAATTCACCCATAAACCATTCCTTTCATTTTCACTGAGGTTAAAATATTTGCAAACAACAGCTCACACCAGAAAAAAAATGTAAAGTAACAAGTGTAATTTGCTCCAGGGTCAAGCTAGAATACAGGAGAGTAGGATTTAGCCCTATTTCTTTTTAATGTAAAAGGAAGGTTGAATCTACTTTACAATTGCCTGTGTCTGCGGGTAGCAAGTCCAGTGAAATCTATCGGACTTTGCTGGCACAGAAGCCGAGACGAACGATGGGAGAATCAGGAGTCCAAGTTCTCCACCTGCCCATCATCAGCCCACGATGGACAGGGATCTGACTTTCACCAAGAAAGAGGCATCCACATATAGCAGACATCAATGTTTTTCTACATCTTATTGCAGTATCCCTGAGTCCACAGTGGGGAAGGAAGGAACCATTCCTACTTATTTTGGATCCTCAGAGGAACTCAGCCACCTAGCTACCATCAAAATCAGTGAGGCTTAAGCCGTTAGCCCTAGATCTTGATCCAGCTTCCACTAACATCTATGACAGTCTGATATTACTTTAATGGGATTTGGATCAAGTTACTACAATACGGACAAGGAACCATTTTCTTTCTTTCAGGAACTTACTGCCTCCTGTACACAAAATTAAAATACACAATTAGATTTCCATTAACTTACAGCAAATTCTGCTGAATTGATCTGAACTTCCTTGTATTCCTATATGAGATCATACTTTAAATGCTCAGCCTGAACATAAATACTTAATGTAATAAATACAGTCTGAAATATTTGATCCACTTGGCAGTTTAATTGATCTACTACAGAGACTGACAGGAAAAATTAAATTAGTTCTGTCTTGTCTCTGCCAACATCACATTTCAATTGAAATGACATTTGATCTACAATTTTGGTTGCGGACCCTTTTGTGCAGTTCCAAGGTTCAGTTTCGGCTGAGAAGAGTGGGGTGGGAGCGGGGCCCATATTGATAAGTAAGTATTTAAAATATATATTTTATATTTCAACTCAACAGTTTAAAGAATTTAATAGATTGCCTTTCCAAAAGGCAAAACCCCAGTTCCCTTCCTTTTTCAGTATTTGTGCATATCAGCATTTGATGTGGACAGCTGAACAGCAACCTAACATGGAGGGAAGCATGGAAAAATTCCCATTTAAAATCCTCACTTGTCAATGCATGCTGTTTAGTTTTCAGAGAAAATATTATGCTTTATTTAAGTATTGTTTTCTTCTGATAGTAGTCACATTGGTCTGCTTGAACTCTTAAATCCTCACAAACTCTGAAATCACTTTCACAAGGGTTGGAAGGTCAACAACCTCAAGTCCATAGTATCGTTTACCAGTGAGAGCTGATTCGAAGGGAGCTCCCTCTTGCTCTTCATACATGATGCCAACACTGTGTCTATTAAAGCATGAGACACAAGCAGGAAAAACAAAAGTGGCTTTATCCAAACCTTCCTGAGCAGTGAATCAGGAGGTTCAGAAGAACAAAAAAGGCATGAACTTAAAGCCTGAAATGGAGAGACACCAGATGTTCCCAGTATAATTTAGGGTGGCCTCAAGGCTGCTAAAGTTGTGCTAGATGGGTCCTCCTTCTAATGCCTAAGCTGGTTAAGTGTGGAAGGCACCCTGTGCTGCCCAGAGGCTGGAAGAGCACTTCAGAGCTGACAGCAGAGTCCAAATGTTATAATTTCGTATCTCCTTGGCTTGTGAACCCTATATGCCCAAAGCAAACAACAGAGCTGACGATCTGGCTCAGTTGCTCTAGCAGGAGCCTTTTTGTGTAAATAACTTGACACTGGAACTGGAGGATTTAATCCTTCTTTATTTGTGCCATTTGTACTGTTCAAAAAAAAAAAAATTCAGAAGCCAAGACCTTGCCTGTTTGGACAGGAAAGCTGGCAGCAAAGCCCACACGAGCTGGGAGAACAGAACCAGTCCTTTCAGTACTGTCAGCTCAGAAACCATTTACCACCCTTCCCTTCCACATCAAAAACATGATCTGACCCTAAATCCTGCTGACATGTGTCACTCCGAGAGGGGTCAATAGGAACCCCTGCCCAGCTAATCAAGATTTGTCCTGGAGGAACAAGCCATTACCCATTTCCTTCCCATGGCTCTTAGGGCTCCTAGTATCTGCATTTTCTCTAATATTTGTGATAAAGACCAAAAAAATCTACCTGCAAGGTAAGGCAGTGCTAGAGTTGGGGACCTGTGGTATGGGAATCAAAGTAATTTGCTCAAGGTCTGTGCATCTGCAGCAAACTAAAGAAATGTTTTAAGTTCTCTAAAGCTACAGTGGCAGGTAAACTAGGGAAAATGCTAAACGGAACCCACTTGATGTATTTGCTGTGTTACATGAGAAAAGTCACTAAGTCCATAATCAAGAATGACAGAGAAAATAAAGGACCCCAAGAGTTTTGATTCCCATACCGCAGTCTCATGGCAAGCAGTGGTGCTTCAATTTGGTAAACTCAAGTTCAAGGGTAAGTTAGGTCCTTGAACACTTCTTTCTCAGCCTTGGAAATGGGAATTGCCCAATGGAATCAGGCAAATTCTCTTCATCTTTCCATAATAGACATTGAAATGTAATGGATGGGCAGTTCTAGTTGTGTTTTTTTTCCTCGATACTGCAATTAAGCTTCCCTAATATGAACAACAGCAACCACAGCAGCAACAAACCAT